TGGTACAGACATAAGTTATATTCATGTTATAGAAGTGGAAGTGCTCACGGACAAAGTTTTGCTCGGGCTCCTATTGACCAATCTTTATTTATGTATTGCCCTAAATCACAAAAGTAGTTCTCTCAGAGTGTCATTTTGGGCTTCAAAAATCTGTTTCCTTCAAGTTTATATTTTGACACTGTAGTTACGAGCCATGAGGATGGACCAATAATTCGTGGTGGAAGGCTTGTTGTAGCAACCTTGTTAGCATCATGCTAGTTTGCATCTGCCCCTGCTAAGACTGCAGACTCTGACATTTGGTTCTCTGATCTAAACACATGTATTCATTCTCACCCTGCAGCGGAGGTGAAGCGTGTGGGGGATACTCTCCTGGGCATGGCCACACAGTGCGTCCAGGTGAAGAATGTGGTGAAGACGTCTCCACAGACTCTCTCCAACCTCTGCCTCAAGATCAACGTGAAGCTGGGAGGCATCAACAACATCCTGGTCCCTCATCAAAGGTAGGACGGTTAAAGCTGGGGGGCCTAAGTTTTAAAGACGTGTGTGTGTGTGTGTGTGTGTGTGTGTGGGGACATATGTGTGTGTGGACATATGTGTGTGTGTGTGTGTGTGTGGGGACATATGTGTGTGTGTGTGTGTGGGGACATATGTGTGTGTGTGTGTGTGTGTGGGGACATATGTGTGTGTGTGTGTGTGGGGACATGTGTGTGTGTGTGTGTGTGTGTGTTGGGACGTGTGTGTGGGTGTTGGGACATGTGTGTGTGTGTGTGTGTGGGGACATGTGTGTGTGTGTGTGTGGGGACATATGTGTGTGTGTGTGTGGGGACATGTGTGTGTGTGTGTGTTGGGACGTGTGTGTGTGTGTGTGGGTGTTGGGACATGTGTGTGTGTGTGTGTGGGGACGTGTGTGTGTGTGTGTGGGGACATGTGTGTGTGTGGGGACATATGTGTGTGTGTGGGGACATATGTGTGTGTGTGTGTGTGTGTGTGTGTGGGGACATATGTGTGTGTGTGTGTGGAGACATGTGTGTATGTGTGCGCGGACTAGTTTGTGTGTGTGTGTGTGTTGGGACGTGTGTGTGTGTGTGTGTAAAAGCAGCTTGTTGTTGTCTAGTTTGGTCACTCGATTATATCTGTATCTCTGTAAGTCAAAACAAAGCATATTATTCATGGAGAAAAAGGTGCCCCAGCTTTAAACATATACAGTCATTTCCCCTTTTTCAGTTCAAAAACATTTAGTACATTTTTTAGTGTTTGTTCATGTTTAAACTTAAATCTTTCACATTTGTCCCCAGACCGTCAGTGTTCCAGCAGCCGGTCATCTTCTTAGGAGCAGACGTCACTCACCCTCCCGCAGGAGACGGGAAGAAACCTTCTATTGCTGCTGTAAGTTCTGTTTTTTAGCTTTAGAGAGACTTTAAAATAACTCTAACATAAAAGAAGCAGTTTAAAATCTCTATCTACGAAAAGAAGTCTAGAATCTCTAACTTTAGAATGAAGAAGAAGCAGGACCTAAGTACGAACCCTGACTTCAGCACTCAAGGCCAAAACTCATGAAATGTGTGGAAGTAAATGCTTGAATTCCCCTCCTCCCTCCCTCTCCTCCTCTTCCCCTCTCTTCTTCTCCGCTTCCCTTCCTCCCTCCCTCCCTCCCTCCCTCTCTCATCCTCTTCCTTTCCTCTCTCCCTCCCCTCCTTTCTCCCTCTCCTCCTCTCTCTCGCTCCCTCCCCCTCTCTCTCCCTCTCTCCCTCCCCCTCTCCTCCTACCCCTCTCCTCCTACCCCTCTCCTCCTACCCCTCTCCTCCTACCCCCTCTCTCCTCCTACCCTCTCTCTCCTCCTACCCCCTCTCTCCTCCCACCCCCTCTCTCCCCCCCCCTCTCTCGCTCTCTCCCTCCCCCCCTCCCTCTCTCTCTCTCCCTCTCTCTCCCTCCCCCTCCCTCTCTCTCTCTCCTCCTCTCTCCCTTTCTCTCTCCCTCCCTCTCCTTCCCTCCTCCTCTCTCCCTCTCTCTCTCTCCCTCCCTCTCCCCCCACCTCCCCTCCTCCCCCTTCCCTCTCAGGTGGTAGGCAGTATGGACGCCCACCCCAGCCGGTACTGTGCCACGGTGCGGGTGCAGAGGCCCAGGCAGGAGGTGATCCAGGACCTGGCCTCCATGGTCCGCGAGCTCCTGATCCAGTTCTACAAGTCCACACGATACAAACCCACACGGATCATCTTCTACCGGGACGGCGTGTCCGAGGGCCAGTTCAGACAGGTCCGTGAAGTCTGTGGGTCATGTGATAGTTCAGACAGGTCCGTGAAGTCTGTGGGTCATGTGATAGTTCAGACAGGTCCGTGAAGTCTGTGGGTCATGTGATAGTTCAGACAGGTCCGTGAAGTCTGTGGGTCATGTGATAGTTCAGACAGGTCTGTGAAGTCTGTGGGTCATGTGATAGTTCAGACAGGTCCGTGAAGTCTGTGGGTCATGTGATAGTTCAGACAGGTCTGTGAAGTCTGTGGGTCATGTGATAGTTCAGACAGGTCCGTGAAGTCTGTGGGTCATGTGATAGTTCAGACAGGTCCGTGAAGTCTGTGGGTCATGTGATAGTTCAGACAGGTCCGTGAAGTCTGTGGGTCATGTGATAGTTCAGACAGGTCCGTGAAGTCTGGGTCATGTGATAGTTCAGACAGGTCCGTGAAGTCTGTGGGTCATGTGATAGTTCAGACAGGTCCGTGAAGTCTGTGGGTCATGTGATAGTTCAGACAGGTCCGTGAAGTCTGTGGGTCATGTGATCTGAGGTTTAAATCTAGAGTCCCTGTGAAGAAACTAGTCACATTTCAACAACATAATCTCTTTAATACATGTTGTCAGCGCTAGTTCAAACTACAGTTTATCTGGACATAAGCGCACACAGACATGTTACAGACTACAGTCTGGGTCTCGGCAGATGTAAAAGCAAAAGACAAAGAATGGGGGAAGACGCAGCTCCTCATAGTCGCAGAGCGTCGTTGATTGGTCAACTCACAGGAAGAAGAGCCTTCCTCAAATGTCTAACCAAAAGCAGACGTTTTCGGCTTCCTGCTTATTAAAACTCCTAGTTTCACTCCTGACTGGGGGATGGGAGAATGCTGCTGATGCGTCCCATCACACACGTAGGTTAACCCAAAGCTGTCTAAACTTTTAACACATTCTAATTCATTTCAATGAAAATCCAACAACTCCACTATCAGTCCCTAACTTAAAAACAATGAAACATTTAATTATGTAATATAACCGTGTGACTAGTTCCTTACGCTCTAAACGGGATGAGGTGTGTGTGTGAACGGTTGGTGAAGATACTTGTATAAAAGTATTTAAGCCACAGGGAGAGGGAGGGGAGAGGAGTAGAGGAGAGGGGAGAGAAGAGAGACTTATGGGGAGAGAGGAGAGACGTATGGGGGAGAGAGCAGAGACGTAGAGGGGAGAGAGGAGAGACGTAGAGGGGAGAGAGGAGAGACGTAGAGGGGAGAGAGGAGAGACGTAGAGAGGAGAGAGTAGAGACATGTGGGGGAGAGAGCAGAGACGTAGAGGGGAGAGAGCAGAGACGTAGTGGGGAGAGAGCAGAGACGTATGGGGGAGAGAGCAGAGACGTAGAGGGGAGAGAGCAGAGACGTAGAGAGGAGAGAGTAGAGACATGTGGGGGAGAGAGCCGAGACGTAGAGGGGAGAGAGCAGAGACGTATGGGGGAGAGAGGAGAGACGTATGGGGGAGAGAGGAGAGACGTATGGGGGAGAGAGGAGAGACGTATGGGGGAGAGAGGAGAGACGTATGGGGGAGAGAGGAGAGACGTATGGGGGAGAGAGGAGAGACGTATGGGGGAGAGAGGAGAGACGTATGGGGGAGAGAGCAGAGACGTAGAGAGGAGAGAGTAGAGACATGTGGGGGAGAGAGCAGAGACGTAGAGGGGAGAGAGCAGAGACGTATGGGGGAGAGAGGAGAGACGTATGGGGGAGAGAGGAGAGACGTATGGGGGAGAGAGGAGAGACGTATGGGGGAGAGAGCAGAGACGTAGAGAGGAGAGAGTAGAGACATGTGGGGGAGAGAGCAGAGACGTAGAGGGGAGAGAGCAGAGACGTATGGGGGAGAGAGGAGAGACGTATGGGGGAGAGAGGAGAGACGTATGGGGGAGAGAGGAGAGACGTATGGGGGAGAGAGGAGAGACGTATGGGGGAGAGAGGAGAGACGTATGGGGGAGAGAGGAGAGACGTATGGGGGAGAGAGGAGAGACGTATGGGGGAGAGAGCAGAGACGTAGAGAGGAGAGAGTAGAGACGTGTGGGGGAGAGAGCAGAGACGTATGGGGGAGAGAGGAGAGACGTATGGGGGAGAGAGGAGAGACGTATGGGGGAGAGAGGAGAGACGTATGGGGGAGAGAGGAGAGACGTATGGGGGAGAGAGGAGAGACGTATGGGGGAGAGAGCAGAGACGTAGAGAGGAGAGAGTAGAGACATGTGGGGGAGAGAGCAGAGACGTAGAGGGGAGAGAGCAGAGACGTATGGGGGAGAGAGGAGAGACGTATGGGGGAGAGAGGAGAGACGTATGGGGGAGAGAGCAGAGACGTAGAGAGGAGAGAGTAGAGACATGTGGGGGAGAGAGCAGAGACGTAGAGGGGAGAGAGCAGAGACGTAGAGAGGAGAGACGTAGAGGGGAGGCAGCAGAGACGTAGAGGGGAGAGAGCAGAGACGTAGAGGGGAGAGAGGAGAGACGTAGAGAGGAGAGACCTAGAGGGGAGAGAGGAGAGACGTATGGGGGAGAGAGTAGAGACGTAGAGAGGAGAGACCTAGAGGGGAGAGAGGAGAGATGTATGGGGGAGAGAGCAGAGACGTAGAGAGGAGAGACCTAGAGGGGAGAGACGTATGGGGGAGAGAGTAGAGGCGTGTGGGAGAGAGAGGAGAGACGTAGAGGGGGGAGAGGAAGATTGAACAGACTATCAATGGTCTGCTGGTGATATCAAACCTACATCCATCTGAAACCTCTGGTGCTACAGTCGCCAGTGTCTGGATCAAGACTCTCCTTTGGACCTTTGTACTTCACGTTTCTCTACAGGGTCTTGTGATTTAGAGCTACACAAAAAAATCTAAAATAAACTGAATATTGGTCATTCTTAGACCTTTGTGCGTTGGAAAGACTGGGTTTAAAGATGGTGTTTTCTTCAGGTGCTGTATTACGAGTTGCTGGCCATCCGTGAAGCCTGCATCAGTCTGGAGAAGGAGTACCAGCCGGGCATCACTTACATTGTTGTACAAAAACGCCACCACACTCGCCTCTTCTGCGCCGACCGGAACGAGAGAGTAAGTCCTGCACGCCACACCATGGTCCTCCTCTTTAAAATACTTTACTCTCTTTATGGCATCTTCACATTAAAGGTTTTTAAAGGATTCTTGTTAGCTTTTAGCATTAGCATCCAAGTAGCACAGAGTCAAAACCACCACTTCCACCAAACCCAACCCCGAGCACATGAACGCCATTTCTGTTACAACGCAGTCTGTGCTGGAAATGTGAAAGTGTTAAACATTCAGCTCAAGTCTGTGAGTGATTTGTGGTTTTACACTGGTCCAGACCAGAGCAGAGAGGATTCATGGTTTTACACTGGTCCAGACCAGAGCAGAGAGGATTCATGGTTTTACACTGGTCCAGACCAGAGCAGAGAGGATTCATGGTTTTACACTGGTCCAGACCAGAGCAGAGAGGATTCATGGTTTTACACTGGTCCAGACCAGAGCAGAGAGGATTCATGGTTTTACACTGGTCCAGACCAGAGCAGAGAGGATTCATGGTTTTACACTGGTCCAGACCAGAGCAGAGAGGATTCATGGTTTTACACTGGTCCAGACCAGAGCAGAGAGGATTCATGGTTTTACACTGGTCCAGACCGGAGCAGAGAGGATTCATGGTTTTACACTGGTCCAGACCAGAGCAGAGAGGATTCATGGTTTTACACTGGTCCAGACCAGAGCAGAGAGGATTCATGGTTTTACACTGGTCCAGACCAGAGCAGAGAGGATTCATGGTTTTACACTGGTCCAGACCAGAGCAGAGAGGATTCATGGTTTTACACTGGTCCAGACCAGAGCAGAGAGGATTCATGGTTTTACACTGGTCCAGACCAGAGCAGAGAGGATTCATGGTTTTACACTGGTCCAGACCAGAGCAGAGAGGATTCATGGTTTTACACTGGTCCAGACCAGAGCAGAGAGGATTCATGGTTTTACACTGGTCCAGACCAGAGCAGAGAGGATTCATGGTTTTACACTGGTCCAGACCAGAGCAGAGAGGATTCATGGTTTTACACTGGTCCAGACCAGAGCAGAGAGGATTCATGGTTTTACACTGGTCCAGACCAGAGCAGAGAGGATTCATGGTTTTACACTGGTCCAGACCAGAGCAGAGAGGATTCATGGTTTTACACTGGTCCAGACCAGAGCAGAGAGGATTCATGGTTTTACACTGGTCCAGACCAGAGCAGAGAGGATTCATGGTTTTACACTGGTCCAGACCAGAGCAGAGAGGATTCATGGTTTTACACTGGTCCAGACCAGAGCAGAGAGGATTCATGGTTTCACACTGGTCCAGACCAGAGCAGAGAGGATTCATGGTTTTACACTGGTCCAGACCAGAGCAGAGAGGATTCATGGTTTTACACTGGTCCAGACCAGAGCAGAGAGGATTCATGGTTTTACACTGGTCCAGACCAGAGCAGAGAGGATTCATGGTTTTACACTGGTCCAGACCAGAGCAGAGAGGATTCATGGTTTTACACTGGTCCAGACCAGAGCAGAGAGGATTCATGGTTTTACACTGGTCCAGACCAGAGCAGAGAGGATTCATGGTTTTACACTGGTCCAGACCAGAGCAGAGAGGATTCATGGTTTTACACTGGTCCAGACCAGAGCAGAGAGAATGGTCTGAACCGAGCGGCTGCTGCGACCTGAGGATGTTATTATTTTAATATTATTTTTAGATACTTTTAGAATTATATATTTGTTTGTTCGTTTGGATTGATGTGTTTCTGCTTCTTCAGGATCAATAAAGTATTTATCTTTCTATCCTGCCATACGTGACAGGTGCTAGCTTCTCCTAACAAACTAGCAATTAGCAAAACACAAGATCTAAATATAAATACAGCAGACATGCAAAATAAAATGCATAAAACAGGTCTCAAAATCAGCTGGATGTGGCCGTTTTTGTTTTGAATGGAACAATAATCCCATTGGTTTGGTTCTATGGGTCGGCTCCAAAATCTGAATGATTAATGTTTTGAGGCTCCAGGCGTCGGGTCCATTCTGATCTAAAAACACAAAATAACGTCATTATTTTAGGGTTTAGGGCTGTTTCCCAAAGTGCTCAGATTAGGTCCAGTTTTTTACCTCGGTGTGTTCTGCTCTGAACCTACAGCTCGGTAAATTACGGTCTATTCATAAAAGCTCTGAGTGGCACTTAAACTGAGCGAAACCATGGCAACATGCACTTACGGCTGTCCTGCAGAGAAGACATTAGGCTTTTAATTGGTTACACCATGGCCTTGGAAAACACATGTCACACTAATACTTCTCCAAAAGTACTAATACACACTAATACTTCTCCAAAAGTACTAATACACACTAATACTTCTCCAAAAGTACTAATACACACTAATACTTCTCCAAAAGTACTAATACACACTAATACTTCTCCAAAAGTACTAATACACACTAATACTTCTCCAGAAGTACTAATACACACTAATACTTCTCTAAAAGTACAAACACACACACAAATACTTCTCTAAAAGTACTAACACACACACAAATACTTCTCTAAAAGTACTAACACACACTAATACTTCTCCAAAAGTACTAATACTTCTCCAAAAGTACTAATACTTCTCTAAAAGTACTAACACACACACAAATACTTCTCTAAAAGTACTAACACACACACAAATACTTCTCTAAAAGTACTAACACACACTAATACTTCTCCAAAAGTACTAATACTTCTCTAAAAGTACTAACACACACAAATACTTCTCTAAAAGTACTAATACACACTAATACTTCTCTAAAAGTACAAACACACACACAAATACTTCTCTAAAAGTACTAACACACACACAAATACTTCTCTAAAAGTACTAACACACACTAATACTTCTCCAAAAGTACTAATACTTCTCTAAAAGTACTAACACACACAAATACTTCTCTAAAAGTACTAACACACACAAATACTTCTCTAAAAGTACTAACACACACTAATACTTCTCCAAAAGTACTAACACACACTAATACTTCTCTAAAAGTACTAATACACACTAATACTTCTCTAAAAGTACTAATACACACTAATACTTCTCCAAAAGTACTAATACACACTAATACTTTTCTAAAAGTACTAATACACACTAGTACTTCTCTAAAAGTACTAATACACACTAGTACTTCTCTAAAAGTACTAATACACACTAATACTTCTCCAAAAGTACTAATACACACTAATACTTTTCTAAAAGTACTAATACACACTAATACTTCTCCAAAAGTACTAATACACACTAATACTTTTCTAAAAGTACTAATACACACTAGTACTTTTCTAAAAGTACTAATACACACTAGTACTTCTCTAAAAGTACTAACACACACTAGTACTTTTAATTTTTTGCACATTCTGTCATGTTCATTAGAACCCTCTGTGTTCTGCTCAGGTCGGGCGCAGTGGGAACATTCCCGCTGGAACCACTGTGGACACGGACATCACACATCCCTACGAGTTCGACTTTTACCTCTGCAGCCACGCGGGAATACAGGTACGGACCCTTTAATACTGTATCACAGGTACGGACCCTTTAATACTGTATCACAGGTACGGACCCTTTAATACTGTATCACAGGTACGGACCCTTTAATACTGTATCACAGGTACGGACCCTTTAATACTGTATCACAGGTACGGACCCTTTAATACTGTATCACAGGTACAGACCTTTTACATCAGAAAACATCGGTACAAATGATGTTAGATACAGTAATGTTGCTGCAGAGTGGCTGAGTGGTTAGCACTCTTGTTTCTCAGTAAGACGGGCCTTTTTGAGTGTTTCTGCGTAGGTTTCCTCCAGGTGCACATTTAGACTTCTGGTCTGAGTCTTTTCTCCCATGGTTCTCTGGAGATCACAGACTTCTGGTTCTGAGTTTTTCTCCCATGGTTCTCTGGAGATCACAGACTTCTGTTTCTGAGTCTTTTCTCCCATGGTTCTCTGGAGATCACAGACTTCTGGTTCTGAGTCTTTTCTCCCATGGTTCTCTGGTTGCAGGGCACCAGTCGTCCGTCGCACTACCATGTGTTGTGGGACGACAGCTGCTTCACGGCCGACGAGTTCCAGCTGCTCACGTACCAGCTGTGCCACACGTACGTGCGCTGCACCCGCTCCGTCTCCATCCCTGCTCCCGCCTACTACGCCCACCTGGTAGCCTTCAGGGCGCGGTACCACCTGGTGGACAAGGAGCACGACAGGTGAGATCAGACAAACAATTTGGTCCAGGCTCATACGGTCCAGGGTTAGACCACAGTCTTCTTCTGATCATTTCAGATAAATATAAAATCAATGTAAAGACCTGGACCTTCTTTTGTATCTGTGTCACGTTATTCTCCTGTGATTCTGGAAACGTTTTACTTTGAAGTTTGGTACAATCTGTTTGAAGCTTTCTCTTAAAAATAGACTTAAAACATTAGCAGGATTCTCTAAGTTTAAAGTCAATAGCTCTGAGGGTTCATTAAAATACTACTGCACATGTTAGCATCATGAGGCTCCGGGCTAACAGTGACTGAGGAAGAACTCTTCACATTCTCTCATCCTGTGTTTGATTCAGATTTTATTGTGTGTGTCTTGTCCCAGTGCCGAGGGGAGCCATGTGTCGGGTCAGAGTAACGGCCGGGACCCTCAGGCCTTGGCCAAAGCTGTGCAGATCCACCATGACACCCTGAGGACCATGTACTTCGCCTGA